TTCTTCAAAATTAGTAATTTTAATGTGATTATTTTATTTTTTTGAGGCTACCCTCACACATTTGTAACTAAATCTTCTATAGAACAAGAGAACCCCTGCTCATGTTCCTGTCATAACGGTGGTACGTGTCATCCTAAGGATGAACTCAATTTCACATGTGAATGTCCATATGGCTTTATGGGTGATACTTGCAATGTCAAAGGTAAATATGCCTCTCTCTCTCTCTCTCTCTCTCTCTCTCTCTCTCTCTCTCTCTCTCTCTCTCTCTCTCTCTCTCTCTTTTGACAGGAAGTAGAACATATGCTTGTTTATATTTTAATTTACCTGGGGTTTTTTGGCCAGGAATTTAAAATATTGATGAAAACATAAGAAGACAGAAAAATTTTAAAATGTATTGATTTATAAATTACCTGCTAATTGCTCAAAATGATGATTTTGTAAAATTAACAGTATTAATAAAGATCAAAGAAGAGATTTAAAATTCAAATTTTCGTTCTTGTTAAGTATTTTTGAAAAGTTTCCAAATCATAAAATATGAAATTAATAAATGATTGAATGTAAGATGTCATTTCAAAGCACATCAAATGGAATGGAATATTAGGGATATAAGAGTGGGATTGTAGATATGTATATGACAGAAAAAAAACTAGAGGTACAGTGAGCAACGAGCTCACTAAATGATACCCCGCCTCCCATATGATTATGATGACAAAGTCCCTGTTTTGCTCTTGGAGACCCGAAATAAGTGTCAGATCAAAAAGTAAAATTGGAGGTTGATAATGGTATTATATAATAAAGAATCTGTGAAAGTATCATTAAATTTTATTCAGTGGTATAGGAGAAGTTAAAGATGGGTACCCTTCAATGTTATAGAAAAATGGCAGTGTCAATGTTTTGCACTGGAAAACCCAAAATAAGTGTCTGATCAAAAAGTAAAATAGAGGGTCACAATGGCACTTGATAACAAAGATTCTTTGAAAGTCTCATTAAATTTCATTTAGTGATAAAAGCGGAGTTACAGATAAGAGATGGGTACCCAAAAGCTTAACAGACGGATGGACGGACGGACGGACAGACTGACGTACAGAGAGACGGACGGAAGGATGGATATCCCGATTACTATATACCCTCCCGCTTTTCAAGCGGGCATTCGAGGATTGATAATGGCCGTCAGTCAAATGTGTTCTAGATTTTCAGTGCATATAAAATGTATCACATCAATAGCTTTAGAGTATGGATGAACTTAGAGTCCACCCTCCTCATTTTTAGGAACGCTGTCATTGGCTCTTTGCCACAGTTTTTGACGTTAAAAAAATTTCCCAGGTATATTCTAATCCTGATTTCAAAGTATTGTAAAGTAAATTGTAAAGTTTGTCGTTTTGTAAAGTTTGACTGATTTTTAAACCAATATGAAAAAGACAAACAGATCACAGCATGGCATTGGAGTTAAATTATATGGTACAACTTCGGGAGAAGTAATAATTTTTTGGTAGAGACACTTGGAAGGGATGTATGTACATGTATAAGTCTGCAGTTTGAACTGGATATGAATGGCTAAATCTTTGGATTTATACTGAGATTTAGAAATGGATTTATTGTCTGATGGAAGTCAACAACTTTAATTATGATACATGTATATCAATTCAAAGCCAAATTCAAGTTTTTTTTAACTTTTCAATATTTCATAAATCCGTTGGAAAACACATAAAAAAAAACTCGATATTATCAAATTTTTTATTGATCTTTTAAAATTCAATTTTATTTCATTCATATGTTATTGCTTTATGAGAACAAAGGCAAAAAATATGCACTGGGAGTTGATAATGAGGAAAAACTAGAAACTGTACCGATCTGGTTTCCAAACAGCTGAATTCCGATTTGAATAAGATTAGTAAACAGCAACTACAAATTTACACCTAATGGTCAAGGAATGCTGGCAATGTATTATTTACTTTCAATGTTTTTTCACATTGAACTGAATAGCCCTTCCACACAGCTCTAAATCTGTTCTTAGGTACTGGACAACCTCGGAAATGATGTAGATTTAAATGCCCCTATAGATAGAAATACACACCTTCTGAAATACGTATGCCAATTCCTGCAGGAAGTTTATGGGAAGCACTACTTGGGTGTCTTCAATAGTCAAATTATTATAAATTAATTCATTCAATGTAAATGACTGTCTTCATTTTTGGAAGGATTCCTTCACAATAAAGTCATGAATCTGTAACCAAATAGAAACAACAAATACTACATGCGCATCAACACCGTAATCCTTAATCAGATCGGCAACTATTTTGATTGAAACACTACATTAAAAAGAATATGTCTGACACTTTCTCGGGGAATTTTATTCCTTTGTTTACATACAAAAACTTGAATCACATACCTGTATATATTTAAATCTAAGTACCTACCATCCCATCACATAACAACAAACGCCAATCATAATTCCATCGTCGATGTAGGTGCTAATTTCTGGGGCTTCACTTCTTCTGATTGACTTGTTTAACACATGCAGTTGTCTAAGTAGGGGGGAAAGTTGATCAGCTTAAACAAGCAGAAAATGTCTTTTGAATATAAGGATTGCTTGGCAGCAAAGAATTGCATAATCTTAGATATTCAGCCAGTTTTAAATACATGTACAAAATTTATTTTTATGGTATTCTGAGTGTTTGAGGGTAGATTTTATTCTCGGAATAACTTTAGCCTTATAACAATGATAATTGAATGTAATAGCTTTGTTAGCAAAATGCGTAATGTGAAATTGCAGTCATTAACATTAAAGACATTAACAACTCTTGTAAAAGACGAAAACAATGCAAAATTCTTCCAAATGTATCTATGACATTTACATGTATGATGTTATTATTTAGAACGCATTTTTTCGAATTAAGACAATCTTAATTACATGGACATTAAATATTTCCCTTATAACTTAATTGTCGTGAGAGTACTTTGCACAAAAAGAGAAATTTTGAAATGAGATATTCAGAAGTATTTTCTTTCCAAACATGGTTGAAATATGATAAACAATATTAGATACTTTATATGTAAGTATTTATTAACAAAAACAAACGTAACGGCATTTAAATATTTGTCCACATTTTCTTTTACAACAAAAATATTCATATTGCAAAAAAATTAAGTAAATGAGATAATGTACATATCACAGGTTTGATATCACAGACGTTTCAAACAACATAAAACCATGCACATTGCAAAATATAATTCAATCCCTCGACGAATTAATAAATAGCCTTTTGTTGCTGGTAGCTTATTCTGATGAAACATTTCATTACCAGAAAATGATAATGAGTAGTTAGTTGTACAAACTTAAAATCAAAGTTTAAACAGTCAATTAAAGTGCAAAAATATTGCAACAAATTCAATTACCTCGTTATTTTTTTGATATCTGGTATTCCTATCAAAGAATCTGTCACCATCTAAGACCTACCAAAAAACCTAGCAAACATTATTAGAACTTAAACTCAAAACATACATATTCAGCATACTTGATAAGATAATTGATTGTTTTTCTTTACAGAAAATCAAACCATAACTCACAATATTCTCAAAGCTTAATTAGCACATTGTTTCACAGTTTTCTCTCTGATGAAAAATGCAAAACTTAGGCCTTACATCTTTCAGAAAACTAAGTATGTAAAAATGCATGCCGCAATGCTTTGTCTGCAGGAGAAAAAATTGACATTGATTCACTCGGGAATATTTACATTTCCAATGTCTTTGTCCGAGATAAAATTACAAATTGTAAATGTACTTTATTTTCCCATCAATGTTTTGGCGCGGCTCCAAAAAAATCCACGTGCAGGGTGGAACAAACAGCTAGACAGAAGCAGGGTTTGGAGCACGTGGATTGGCGGAATCAAAGCATGTAAATATAAGGAATAATAACTGTCAGATTTTTCAATTTCATGAAGATGATCAATCGATTGGCTTGCGTGATAATTTTATGTGTAAACGCCTTCTGCGTTTGATCACATCATGAAATCAAAAAATAAGACAGTTATTCCTTAAATAAATGGAAGTCATATATAATTCATTATTCCAAATCATGAACAGTTCCAATGCATTCATTTTCAGATCAGTTATTCTCCAAATCACCTTACATAATCTATTAGAATTTGATGAACGTACAGGAAGAATTTCAGACAAGAAATTCTATTACCTAACGATATCATCAGACATTAACACTACATTAAAAAGAATATGTCTGACACTTTTTCGGGGAATTTTATTCCTTTGTTTACATACATAAACTTCATTCACATACCTGTACGAGTATATATTTAAATCTAAGTACCTACCATCCCATCACACAACAACAAACGCCAATCATAATTCCATCATCGATGTAGGTGCCAATTTCTGGGGCTTCACTTCTTCTGATAGACTTGTTTAACACATGTAGTTGTCTAAGTAGGGGGGAAAGTTGATCAGCTTAAACAAGCAGAAAATGTCTTTTGAATATAAGGATTGCTTGGCAGCAAAGAATTGCATAATCTTAGATATTCAGCCAGTTTTAAATACATGTACAAAATTTATTTTTATGGTATTCTGAGTGTTTGAGGGTAGATTTTATTCTCGGAATAACTTTGGCCTTATAAACAATAATAATTGCATGTAATAGCTTTGTTAGCAAAATGCGTAATGTGAAATTGCAGTCATTAACATTAAAGACATTAACAACTCTTGTAAAAGACGAAAACAATGCAAAATTCTTCCAAATGTATCTTTGACATTTACATGTATGATGTTATTATTTAGACGCATTTTTTCGAATTAAGACAATATTAATTACGTGGACATTGATTATTTCCCTTATATCTTAATTGTCGTGAGAGTACTTTGCACAAAAAGAGAAATTTTGAAATGAGATATTCTGAAGTATTATCTTTCCAAACATGGTTGAAATATGATAAACAATATTAGATACTTTATATGTAAGTATTTATTAACAAAAACAAACGTAACGGCATTTAAATACTTGTCCACATTTTCTTTTACAACAAAAATATTCATATTGCAAAAAAATTAAGTAAATGAGATAATGTACATATCACAGATTTGATATCACAGACGTTTCAAACAACATAAAACCATGCACATTGCAAAATATAATTCAATACCTCGACGAATTAATAAATAGCCTTTTGTTGCTGGTAGCTTATTCTGATGAAACAATTCATAAATAGTAAATGATAATAAGTAGTTAGTTGTACAAACTTAAAATCAAAGTTTAAACAGTCAATTAAAGTGCAAAAATATTGCAACAAATTCAATTACCTCTTCTTTGATACCTGTTATTCCTATCAAAGAATTTGTTACCATCTAAAACCTACCAAAAAACCTAGCAAACATTATTAGAACTTAAACTCAAAACATACATATTCAGCATACTTGATAAGATAATTGATTATTTTTCTTTACAGAAAATCAAACCATAACCCACAATATTCTCAAAGCTTAATTAACACATTGTTTCACAGTTTCCTCTTTGATGAAAAATGCAAAACTTACATCTTTCAGAAAACTAAGTATGTAAAAATGCATGCCGCAATGCTTTGTCTGCAGGAGAAAAAATTGACATTGATTCACTCGGGAATAAATGGAAGTCATATATAATTCATTATTCCAAATCATCAACAGTTCCACTGCATTCATTTTCAGATCAGTTATTCTCCAAATCACATAACATAATCTATTAGAATTTGATCAACATACAGGAAGAATCTCAGACAAGAAATTCTACTACCTAACGATATCATCAGACATTAACAGGTTTTGCTATGTTCGCTCTGCTAACATAAAGCTGAGTCCTATAATTAGTCCTATAAGAAGGGAAATCGTCAGAACACAAAAGATAATGATGATCGTCTTACTGTTGGCAGTCCTGGTGCGAACCGTTGAAATACCCTGCAATATAGATATAGAAAAGTCAGTACACTTCCAAAACAACATTTACTAAGTAAGATGATATTATAAACGAAGGAGAGGATATTTCCTATCTGAAAACTTTGTTGAAAATAACACCAGCCCAGCACTGAAAAAAATAGAATTCTAGACTGGGTGTTTCTTCTCTCTACATCTGTCTGCATCCCCCTGTCTGCTTGTCTGACAATCCGCCCCATTTGATTTTTCAAATCTTAAGACAACTTTAAAGATTAAAATAGATATTGAAATGAGTTTTGGTTTATAACTCTTGAAGATACAAAAATAGATATCATTTCGTATTGCTTCGTTGATGCTGGACGGAATTATGGTCTTTTTCTAAACTGCACCGAATTTCAAAACTTATTCCCAAAGTTGTAGATATCGAGCAGATTGTTGATATGTGGTCAAATCTGATGAGTTAAAGATCAAGTTTTGCATTTTGTTCCAGTGTACTGAGTTAATCTTTTTTTTTTCTAAAATCAGGAGATACAGCTTGTTGACAAAATCTTCAATGGTTTGAACAATAACATAGACATTAACATATGGTCCTAAAACACATCTTAAAATATACACATACTTGTTTAAACTATAAAAATGTTTTCTTCTTTTGGCTTTGAGAATAATTGCAGGTAAAGCTTTCTCTTATGATATTTTTATTTTAAAATGATATGACCGTGAACCATGATAGACCAACTTTCTGCTAATAAACAGAATGCAATTAAGCATAAATTCCAATGTGAAATAGGAATCTGAGAATAAAAGCAATTGGCTACAATGACCTCGATCTTTGAGATTTAACTTTTAATCAAATTTGTGAAATCACAAAGGGATAAGCAATTACTTAGTAATATCCCGAGTCATTTTTATTTTGAAATTTAAGATAAATAGACCAAGTCAGACCATTGACTTTAAATGATGCGTATGACACATATAATAAAGTAGTTAAAGGATTTGTTTGGATTTAAACATGTATTCTTTCACTAAAGAGTTTTTTTTTCTTTTGTGTGTTATGTCATTGACCGATTTCAATACAATCTGTTTTGCCGTTGACGTTTTTTTTTAATTTCCAAGAAGCAAGCATGAATATGAGTTAATGATACTTCACAAAACAGGTAGCCATACCCATCAATAAATGTTAATTTATAAGTTAGTCATTAAATACTTTTTATTTTTTTCTCTCCAGATGAAAATGGGTTAAGAAAGCGAACAATGATCGATCTCATTAAAACTACAAACAATACAAAGATTTGAACAGGACATAAAATTCAGAGGTGGAATCAGGTGCCTAGCAGAAGAAACCATCCCTTGTTAACCGGTCACATCCATCGTTAGCCCTACCTATGTATTGAAATGTTGCAAATATTGTTAGGAGAAGCAAATACCATGTACAGGTGATAGTGGAATTATATCTTCAAAACAATCAGGATATCACATTTTTGTTTTATTTAAGAGAAATCCTAATATCTGTTTTACAATTGTATTTTTATTGAGTATAAACCAGGTATGCAAATTATCCCACGTTTCCAACTATTGTTGATGCCCAGGCATACTCTACTAAACTAGACAGTGATTCCTTGAATATACAATAAAGAGCTTCAAAAATTATGTCTAAACCAATACGATAAAAGGAAGCCTTTCCTGGTTTTTCCTTTTCAATTGTCTTGTAAAGAAAATTACTTACTCTATGTCTCCGTGTGCGTTGATGGGCTTGATCATATGATCTATAATACTTCGGAAGGTCTCGCGGACTTATAAAACTATCATCGTATCCTGGGAGTGTATCTGTGTATGGTGGTGGATTCAAAGGCGCGGATCTGTTCTGGGTAAACCACACTCCTCCGATTCCTGCGGTCTGAAGTGTGTTACTCGGGGTACTTGAACGCCCAGCCACGTCATTATAAGATGGCGGAAAGTCACCTTGACATAAAATAAATCGCATAAGTATTCGTTCGAGAAACTGTAACATTCAATATTACTTTATATTGCTACATTGATTCTTCATTATGAATATTACTACATACAGATTTAACTTTTAGTTCCTTGTTCTACTTTTAAGTCAACTTGATAAATAAAATACAATTCTTCTGGTGCAAAAATATTTCTTTTTCTTTTCCCATGGATATAAATCGTGCCACTTTAATAGCATTCTGTAATATTTTTTTTACTCTTCATGAAAATATCAACAATAGCAAAGAAGAAACTTTATCAGTACTAGTATATGGAACAACATACTCGAGTATTCAAATTTAGGAAGATGAAGTAGATACTAAAACTCTAGGACTTCTAACGTATTTAAATCACAAAATTGTTAAACCATAGTTAACACAATCAAAATGCATCAATAATTACGCAATACATCAATTTCCCATGATTTGTTTTTTTTTTTTGCAAACTTTCTGATATTACAGTCAACTAATTTTTTGTTCAATATAAATAGACCTCTAAAAATTTTGTAACAGGAAGAAAGTAAAATATGTGGAAAGGGCATATGTTTCAATAATAATACCCCAAGCGAGCGACAAACAAAGCAGTGTCTTCAATCAAAGTTTTCTATATTGCTTGAATATGGAGGTTTCTTGGTTGTCTATCCGATTTCTCTCATATACTGTATATGAACAAAATGTTTAGACGCAAATCTTGTAGAATCATAAGTATTACATGTACATGTGTATTATGATAAACTGTTTTTAAACATTTTTTCCGTATGTCTATCTCAACAATTTTATAAAATCAATATTTTGAAAACAGTAAAATGTGCGTTACATGAACATTGATCTTGTTAGCTCACCTGAGCCGAAGGCTCAAGTGAGCTTTTCTGATCAAAATTTGTCCGTTGTCTGTCGTTGTAGTCGTTGTCGTCGTCGTTGTTGTCGTCGTCGTAAACTTTTCACATTAACATCTTCTTCTCAAGAACCACTGGGCCAATTTCAACCAAACTTTGCACAAAGTATCCTTGGGTGAAGGGGATTCAAGTTTTTCAAATGAAGGGCCGTGCCCTTTTCCAAGGGGAGATAATCATGAATTTGTTAAAAATTAATGGCATTTTTAAAAAATCTTCTTGTCAAGAACCACTTTGCCAGGAAAGATGAAACTCATGTGGAATGATCCTCAGGTTGTGTAGATTCAAGTTTGTTCAAATCATGACCCCCGGGACAAGGCTGGGGCCAAAATGGCCGACCCAAGTTTTACATAGGGATATATAGGAAAAATCTTTTAAAATCTTCTTCTCAAGAACCACTGGGCCAGGAAAGATGAAACTCATGTGGAAGCATCCTCAGGTAGTGTAGATTCAAGTTTGTTCAAATCATGACCCCCGGGGCAAGGGTGGGGCCAAAATGGCCGACTCAAGTTTTACATAGGAATATATAGGAAAAATCTTTAAAAATCTTCTTCTCAAGAACCACTAGGCCAGGAAAGAGGAAACTCATGTGGAATCATCCTCAGGTAGTGAAGATTCAAGTTTGTTCAAATCATGATCCCCGGGGCTAGGATGGGGCCAAAATGGCCGACCCAAGTTTTACATAGGAATATATAGGAAAAAATCTTTAAAAATCTTCTCAAGAACCACTGGGCCAGGAAAGATGAAACTCATGTGGAAGCATCCTCAGGTAATGTAGATTCAAGTTTGTTCAAATCATGACCCCCGGGACAAGGCTGGGGCCAAAATGGCCGACCCAAGTTTTACATAGGGATATATAGGAAAAATCTTTTAAAATCTTCTTCTCAAGAACCACTGGGCCAGGAAAGATGAAACTCATGTGGAAGCATCCTCAGGTAGTGTAGATTCAAGTTTGTTCAAATCATGACCCCCGGGGCAAGGGTGGGGCCAAAATGGCCGACCCAAGTTTTACATAGGAATATATAGGAAAAAGATTTAAAAAAATAATTATCCAGAACCACTGGGCCAGGAAAGAGGAAACTCATGTGGAATCATCCTCAGGTAGTGAAGATTCAAGTTTGTTCAAATCATGATCCCCGGGGCTAGGATGGGGCCAAAATGGCCGACCCAAGTTTTACATAGGAATATATAGGAAAAAATCTTTAAAAATCGTCTTCTTTAAGAACCACTGGGCCAGGAAAAATGAAACTCATATGGAATCATCCTCAGGTAATGTAGATTCAAGTTTGTTCAAATCATGATCCCCGGGGCTAGGATGGGGCCAAAATGGCCGACCCAAGTTTTACATAGGGATATATAGGGAGACCTTTTAAAATCTTCTTTTCAAGTACTTCAAAGCTATGATTAGTGATATGTATATGGAATCATCCCCAGGTAGTGTTGATTCTAGTTTGTTCAAATGATGAAAGCCTGGAGGGGAGGGGGGGTTAAATTCAAGCCCGATGTGCTCAGGTGAGCGCTGTGGCCCCTGGGCCTCTTGTTTTTCAAAAACAACCTTTCTTCAGGTGACTGTTAACAGTCGTTTTTGATTTTTAAAATGTGATGTATTTTTTCTGATATAAATTTTGTCTACAAATAGCACGTGCATGGAGGAAAAGGGTCCATTGAGGTGCGACTGTCTATAATGAGCTAGTTATTCTTTTGGTATTCGATCCTTTCTCTGATTTTTCAAGGGCCCTTTTGGATTGTTCCAAACTTGTAACATTCCTTTGGATGTTTGAATTTGATTACTATTCGTTGTTTTGATTGCATTCTCTTAAGTATTATGCCAGTCATTCCTTAAATTTTAATACCTGTTATTCAATCACTTTCAAATAAGCATTATTTGTACTTTAATTTCGAGGTCATATATTTCAATTTAATGAGAATTTAAAAAGAATTATTTGTTTAACGTTGCCAAGTTTGAATCAATTTCTATAGGACATTGAGGCAGTGTAATAGGTATATCCCAATGAGTGTTTTGGACTCCGTGTCTGGTATCAAATATTTGTAACTTTATGACATGTACTTTTAAACTATTTATTCATATTTTTAGTATTAATTTCTTTTCAATGAAAACATTTTCATTGAATTTGACAATCTGTTTTTAAAACATAAAAATAATTTTTTTTAAATTCTCAATTTTCCAGTACGTTTCATTTGTAAAGTACACGTGAATGATTTTAGTGCACTCTGATTCGATTAATTCTTCTGTCAAATGTAAATAAGAAAAAAGCAAAACTCTTTCCCATTGCTTAAAAAATAGATATAATTTGTACTGCGCTTTAATCTTTTTTAACGTGCGCACTTTTAAGGTGCAAATGTTACAGTGGCAACTCACGTGCCCAGATTGAATGAATAAAACTCATAAAAATGTCTTAATGGTTAACAATAAACTTTTCTGAATGTGGGTGTGTGTTTCTCAATTACCTCAACGCATTTGATTCTATAAACAAAATCATAAAAGTTTCTGGTGTTTTGGAGCTATGGTTACCTGTTCTGTGCAAACGTTGCATATACTACAGAGGTTTTATGTTCGACTCCATTTTCTTGATATGATCAAAAATGCAATTCAAGAATAAGACCCAGTAGTTAAGTTTATCGAAGCCTTAGTAATCTGTTTTCTTTGTTAGTACGTATAAGTTCCTGAAGCTACCCCTATTTTTACATATATAAATATGTTGACAATCTTAGATTCTATGGTATCATTTAAGGTAGGATTCTTCTCATATTTCTTGTATTTAAAAATTAACGAAAATAAGACGAAAATAGTCCCATCCACATAATCTGCAGAAATCGGTTTTGTTATTATAATATTTTTGTAAGATCATAAACATTCATGTATAATTATATCAATTATATTCTAATATAAATATTTGTACAAAACATTAAATACAAATTACGTTTTAATAAATATTAACAAACACTTTTATTAAAATGATTTAGTATATTAAAAACCAAGGATACATGTAAAAAAAAAAAACACACACACATTTTTTTTTACTTCTGAACAACAAATTTACAGGTCGACAGGCTGACAAGTGGACAGGTCGACAGGTTGACAGGTCTGACTTCACAGTACTATTGATGTCAACCTTCGACCCGTCTACCTGTCGACCTGTCGACCTGTCAACCTGTCTACCTGTCGACCCATCGACCTGTCAACATGTCGACCTGTCTACCTGTCAACCTGTCCACCTGTCGACCTGTCGATCTATACTAAGTGCACATTACATTCATTGATAATTTAGATAAAATCATATGCAAGATACATATCTTGTTTCGTACATATATAATATAGAATGCAATGGGTTTATATAACTAATTTACCAATAATGGCCACAAATATTCATTAATATTTACATTCGATTCATATGCAAAATATGCTAATTTTGCACATTTATGAATATAAATGAATATGCAAAAAATATATATTCTTACGAGAAAAAGAAATTGGAACTTTTTTTGTCTTATATTGTACTTGAGCCGAAATTTTCTCTGAATCAAGAAGACAATATCAGTAAGTGAAAGTATCAGTGAGATTAAATTTGACCTTTTATATCAGAGGTAAGGTCAGGTCACGGTCATTATTTTTTCCCTTGACATTATGAATAAAAAAGGATACTGTTGCCAATCATGTGGTGCCTACTTCTATTTCAAAAGTTTAAAGATTGTTCTTTTTGCATAAAAAGATATTATTATATCGGGGTTATAGCATAGCATTATGAAATTTACATAAATAATTTAACTAAACTGGATATTGTCTAATCCGAATTTTCTCTGTTTTTCTTTATTTTTTAGGATATATTAGTTATCTTCATATGCTTCCTATATTTAACTTTTTTTTATTTTCACATATTATAAAGTAGTCTTATAAAGGTGCAAAATGATACAAAAACAAAAAGTTTTTATCGTTTACTAAGAGAGAAAAAATACTTTTTTATGGATTTTTCGCTCAAATCTGTACTTTGATTGGAAGCGTTTAAAAGCTATCGTAGTTCTAGTTTGTTTGGAAAATCATATTAATTTGATATATTTTGAAAGTTTAGTCCCTTATTATTAATTTAAATTACATTTAAAATTTATTCAAGTCTTTGATTGTGTAAACCTTAAAATTAAATTCATTGTTCTAATTTTTGAAAAGCATAAAAGAAGATATTTTCATACGCCATCATTCCGCCAAAAATATAGTTCCTGCTAGTTTTCAAACACAGTTTACCATTTCTATTTAACGTTGTACAATTGTGATGAGAAATGAAAAATATGGTCTTTTAAATCCCTTACACCTAAATATATAATATATATAAGCAAATTTACTTTGAATGTTTTATCTAGTCAGAAACCAGAGAAGAATCCATTTAATGAATTGCCTTGTGATCCAGATTAATATTAATGGTTGTTCCCTCCAAAGTTGAATGCTGCATATAGTGCTGAGTATATCGAAAATATGAAAATTGCATGTAAAACAAATAATTCAGTAGTTTGACGGGTCTTTTTTTTCGTGTACACGTATAACCCTTTTGAACTTCATCAAAAATGGCGCCGTTTCTTGAGATTTAACTAGAACTTGAAAAACCATAATTCCAAATATAAATCAGGGAATTTTTTTTCTTTAGTTTAGTTGCCATAAAATAACACGTTAAATGTGGTTTATACTTGTACAGTAATTTCCTGTATATATTTTCAATTAAGTTCAGGTGAAATGTGTTCAAAAATATTTTGGTTAGAAATGTTTTCACACTTTATAAATAAAAAAAGTTTTTTCAGTCCATGTTTTGCGGTCGGTAGAGTGCGTGAATAATGGATTATAATATGTTTTAATCAATACTCTTTTAAAATGAGAAAATGATATTACATCTAAATTTCTATAACTGAAAGATTCGATTGTTTATACTCCTACTTTTCATCTACCCGAAGCATACGTAAATGAAAAGTTGAATTTGATAAGCGTAAATGTCATGCGAAATTCTACACGGGTTGGTGAATTACGTTGGTTGAGTTTTCATTTAACTGTTAGAGAGTGAATCTTTACAGTAGGCCTCGGTGCGACAACACCATTGTTCTGATCTATTTAATCCTTCAAGGTTTTTTGTTGTCAATAAAATCAATGTTATCTTATCTCTGAATTACCTACTGCACATTTATTGATCTATTCTATAGACTTTTATTGATGTAAAAGCAATATGATAGATAACTAAATCCTATCTATTTTGTTTAGCTAAATGAATAAACATTTTGCACTTTGGTTTTTAATGACATATGGAGATAACGAACAGCATTCAAGCTCCTAAGTCTATACAGACAGTATACATCAGTAGCAGCGCAAATACAGGCCTCTAAATTAAATCATCAGAGGTGGGTTCACGTACAATGAAGGAGTAAACATCCCTTGTTGACCGAAATAACCTTCAAAAGAAGATTTTCTTACATTTTAACTTCATTAGAATACCAGTTATCTCCACGCTTGACAAAATTAAACAAAATGTGTTTTTATTAAGTTTGTTGATAAACATGGAATATTCAAATTTAATGTGTTTCGGATATAAATTGCCTAAACGCTAAGTGTTTGAATGACATTATGCCAATGCCCACTTATAAACAAAATGATTGACTTGTTTTTATCGAAGTCTTCATTTTAAACTTGTTTATAACAGAAAATCTTTGATCTTTCAAAGGTCTTAAAATGAAACTTGAGAAATCGTCTGACATTCCAATTCAAAATTGAATCAAGTTTCTTAAGGTGAGATTTTTGAATAGCAAACAAAACATTCAAAGGGTATGCAAATAATTGCAGGAACACTCATTCTAAATGGTAAATATTCTATTTTTGAAAACTATACAAAGCTTAGAGAAAGAAAACTATCACAATGAATCAAAAGTGTTAGCATATCTTTGGGAATGAAAATATACAGAAAAAATATGATGAAGTCCAGCTCTTTTTGTGTACTTAAATTTTTTTGAGCAATTTAAATCTTTGTTTCGCTTTATGTTTGCTCATGAGCAATTGTGATTAATGGGTATCTTGTTAAATACGAAATTACTCATGAATACGTAAATCTTTAACCCATAATATCAAATCAGCTTAGCGTAATCGCTTAAAATCGTGACTATGTATAGAACCTTCTATAAAATGTCAAAACCACACATCCCGTTGAAATAAACACACGCTTTGTTTTTTTTATTTTTCATTATTATGATAGTAACGGTAGTGAAAACTCATATTTTTAACAGCATTAAATCAATTTATAAAAATGTCAAATTGAAGATCTTTGATTCAAATTAAAATAACTGTTTTTTAACAGAATGTGAAAAAGATTGCAAAGTATTGTTCTGAAATTTTTGTTAATGAATGAAATGTTTCTTGATAATTAAATTACAACTTAAAAACAGTGTATTTTTATTTTGTTTTTGAGATAAGAACCTTAGAAAAGCATATCAGAAATATATAGAGCAATTGTAAAAACTTTCTAAATATTAATATATGGTTATCCTTTCTAATAAACTGTATATGTGTTTACAAATTGTTATGAAATAATTTATAGCTGAACATATTCATTTTTCAGTAAAATGTCAACGTTTTTGTGTCGTCTACATTATATTTTGGAGAGAATCATCAACACAGGATGTTTTTTATTTGGCAAGAACAAATGTTTTATTGAATCTATTAGAAAATGTGGAAATATCACACTTATGACATGCCCCTTCAATCAAAATTAAGCATTGATATACATTACTGATGATCAAATATGTTTTGAAGGTTTTTGTTTCCCTCTTTGATAAATTGATAAAGAATGACATCAACATATCTCCCTTTCATTGACATTTCGATTCATGACATGAATCTGTGAACATATAATAAATAAAAACAGTAAATATTCTACAAATGATTTTTCTTACTTATTTACTTACCATTAATAGGAGAAACCTGTGTCATTACTGCATCGCTGTCATTTTTCCTGTCCCCAATAATCAATCGGTGAAGGCATTATGAGCTCATGACACCCTGTCCAAAACCTGTCTTCAAGTTGGGTGACTATCCAATTGTCAATACACACTGTCCCAACATATCAAGGGATCTTAGATATTTCGCTTATTCAAAATCAGATATTTAAATCTGTAGAGGACTTTCTGTCAGTTCTTTCTGCCTCTTGGTCTTTCCATTATCTTATTACTGAAGGAACTTTAAATCATGCATTATGTTTATATCAACAGCGACTTTAGCTGTGTTGTTTAAATGTTTTCCGTTTTTGATTGTGACCAGTAGACCAGAACTCCCCAATTCTAATCGATTTCGACCTACAAACGATTCCCTAAACTGTCAATTCCCTTCCACTTATTGATTTCTTATATTATGTTTTAATGAGGGGGAAAATTCTCTAAGGATTCAGTTAACTAGCTTTATTTTATGATTTTCCATAAGAATATTTTTGTTAAATAAAACATTCAATAACCAATTTATACCAGCTTTTATTAATACTTTTGGCAAGATAACAATGAATCTTAAAGTCATTATCATTATGAAAGAACTGAACCAAAAATGTCCAGAAATTTAATTTTTCATTCCCAACGTATTCCACCCTTTCTCTTGCATAGTGTTGTACTAATCAAAACCTTAATCTTGATAGAGAATTTTATGGACTTATTCCTAAATCCTTATTTGAGCATTTTGTTACGTATATAATTTAATTTTAATATTTGATTTTAATACATGTACCTCTATAATTGTCTCGTAATAAAACATAATTAAAAAACAATTCATTAAGATTTATCTTTCTTTTTGAATGAGCCATGAGTGCACTAAATTACACTTTGTGCTATTTTTAAATATTTTTTTAAAGAATATAATATTGATTCTATCTTGTCAATATTTATATCTCCGTGCAAAGTAGAATTTACATCAGGCATTTTGTGGCAACAATGATCCAACATTGATTAAATCGTCTAAAATATTAAATCATTTAATATTCTTATCAACTAATCAATATATTTTGTTAAAGTTTAAAATTGTTTTTCGTATTTTAGGATTAAATTCTCAACAATATTGCATAATAGTGCAATATAAGCAATAATCTATTGAATCTCAAAATGCAGCTATAAAATCTTTTTCCCTTCCTGTCAATGTGATTCAGCTATCAAAGTAATTAAACCAGAACGACAGAAAAGGAAATGGGTTTGTTACAGAGAACATGCCTTTTCCTTAATTTTATTGTAATATAACATGACACATGTTGCTTGCATGACAGAATGTTCTAAATTAAGGAATGCGAATTGAACTATTATATAGGGAAAGGAATAAAATCTTTAATAGAGATTTTTTTTTTAAATGAATCTCTCTCTTACTCACGTAAGACGCCATTTGATCCATATCTTAGATTTTAAAGATGTACACTTACTAGAGGAAGAAAGTTCTCTTTTTTTTCTTTACTTGCTGCGTATAGTAAAAATAACCAACATTCGATGGGGGAACACGGCTTTTGTTCTATGAGGGAAGAAAAAAAAGCGATGGGTATATCAAAGGTCTTCTGTCGAAAGTACATGAAGTGGGAAAGTCTATCCTTCTCCTAATTGTCGAAGGAAATCAGATTTGATTTCACGTCATTCAGACTAGTCATGACAACAAAATGGGAAAAATGCTTTAAATGAGGCCCCGAGTGGCAGAAAATAGCACGAAAAAGATCCTCCATTGATCAATGACGTTAGGTTGCACAACAATATTAAATTTTGATTTTTATTCTTATGAAAAATGCATAATTTTTAGTAGGCGATATTGATTGAAAACAAGTTTTTGAGAGGTCTCCAATTCAGATCTGGTAAACTTCTTCAATGTTTTAGTACACAAAAAAATTTAACAATCCAGCAATGAACGTAAGTTTTTTGGTCCAAGTAGAGCAATGCTTAAGAATCAAGTGCAGGGATAAAGCCTCCCCTTGCAAATATAGTATGCAAAATCAAAATTCAGTAAACCCTAAACCCTAATGAGGGATTTCATTTCATTAAAAAATGACAAAATAAGGAAGGTCGATTTATGAATAATTTTGCAGTAGCCATGTTACGACGTGAACGTCAACTGAAATACTTTTATGACACCTGAGTGCCGATAACTACTTCTATGTGTACCTGTAATGTTATTATAATAACTCCAGTTAAGAGTTTTGATCATGAGTAGGACAAAAACATGAACCCTAGAAACATAAGAGGTTGGATCACGTGACATTTAAGAGAAATTATCCCCTTTACTGACTTGTCGAACCTATCTTTAGTCTTGTGTATTGATCAGATACTAATGGTAATCAATGTTATACCCTAAAATCCCTTTCCAAGGAGGAAATACTTCTAAATTATATGTCAGTTTTGAACATTTTTAATATACCAAACAACCAACATTAATTTGAATTACCATTTCTATAATGGATTCCAAAACTTCATAAAAACCCTTACAAACAAAGATAAATACCGTTTTCCATTAAATATTCTACCAAGCCTCTTTTTTAATTGGTATCAAATCAAATTCCAAGGATCTTTTCGAAAATTTGAAATCGCAATGTTTAATCAAAATAAAAACTTAAAAACTTATGACTTTTAAACTTTATACACAGTCATTCACCACGATAAATTAAAGTCAAACTTTTTTTATATAATTTACAGATTCTTTTCAATAAAAATGGAACTGGTAGATTTTCTTGTCATTGGCCATTTGTGTAATTATTTTGTCGAAAACATTCTGATTGTACACGCAAGTACTATGAATTTGATGTTAAAAGATGCTTGAGTTTCTAATTGACAATATCTATGTGGTTTTTGGAGACCAAGTCTTCCAACAATTTATTGGAATTCTGTGGGTATCAATTGCGCTCTGTAATTGGCATACCAATTTTTATACTCAAAGGAAGCAGATTTGTCCAAACTTTTGTACTTAAAATGAATAAAACACCTGCTGTGGCCTAACGACATATTATCAATTAACAATGGTTATTTCCATTCTTATGTCGATACGACACATCCCGTTGAGCTTGAAATAAAAGTTTTCACACAGTCTGACACGTATGTTTCATTTTTGGATATTTTATTTTAAAGGGACATTATTTTAATCTAACTACCAAGCTCTGTGATAACCGTGATGACTTCAATTTTTAATCGTCAACTTCCCTTACTTATGCAGCAATATACCTTTGTCACCTTCATATGGGGTTTATATCCCACAGTTGGTTCGATACGCTAGAGCATGCTTTACGTATGTAAAATTTCTAAAACAAGTCAAATTATTCAAAAACACGTTAATGAAAGAAGAAATAGAATTTTCAGCTGTCTTTAAAGTCATGATTTCGTAAGTTCTAGGGTCGATGCAATGACATTTTCAGCAAATACAATTTATCATTGAGTCAAATGCTGACTGACGTTTTTCATACTAATTGTTAGGCCGTTATTTTCAAACCGAATCGTCGAATTGACTTTTTCGCTATTTTCCGATCAAGACAAGGAGTAAACGGCGGATGTGACCGGTCAGCAGTGGATGCACGCTCCTTCATGGCACCTCTGATGTTTTGGAGGTCCGTGTTTGCTCTGCTCCAAATTTGTATTGTTTTATGAACTTTGGAGCTTCAATACCGATCGTTATATACATATTTCATATACATAAATGGATAAATCTCTTAAACTAAATCTTACTGTTGGTATGAAACAACAAACAAAATACTGCCCGATGGTAAGTAATATTTATAAACAATGCAATTCTAACCAGAAAATGACTTGTATAATCTTCCCTCTAAAAGAGGTTTTTGAAATACCCGAAAAATTAACTTACTTGCATTAGTCATGCTTTGTTTAAAAACTCGAACCATCTTTATGTATAGCCAATCATTTGGGATACATACATACCTTATTCAGGCGATGACTGAATACATGTATTATACATATATTAGGGAAGATAATGACTGAAATGTTGAAGTCATTCCGTATGGCATACATTTAGTTATTATATGACGATCGGCAATGGGGGATAGTAAAATATCCAAATAGGAAACAGATGTAGAAGACTCTGGTTTCTTCTACATTTGGATATTTAAGGAATGACTCTAATTCTTGGCCAAATTATCGAGTATAATATGGTTTGGGTCAGTTTACGCTTTATAATCCGCGAAGCGGATTATAAAAAAGCGTAAACTGACCCAAACCATATTATACTCGATAATTTGGCCAAGAATTAGAGTCATTCCTTATAATTTAATTTTAAAATAATTAAACAACTGGGGGTGTAAAATTGTGTTGTTTTTATGAGTTCAAATTTACCGCGCAATAATACAACCGTAGTAACGGAAGTGATGGGAAGCGAGGGGAGGTAAAAACTGATACATAGATCTAGCAGCCATGATGCTTGTTTACACGAGGTAAGATCGAGCTACTGTTTGAAGTTAAAGGTACATTCATTAAATCTGGAATTTTCCATGAATCCCAAGGATTAGAAATGAGGGGATTGATGGATACAGATGATTCAGCTGGTTGTCAAGGGGGTGTGTCCCCATACCAAACCAGATTATACAAAATGTTATGTGTTCCTTTTTGGAAATCAACCAATGAGAGGCAAGAATACAAACAAAATTAAATTATATCGAGTCAACATAAAAATGAAATTTTAATTGTCATCTATACTTCTTAACATTATTAAGCTGAAGGTGACTGCAATAGTTTTCTTCTTTTCAGATAGCAGTCTTTGAATAGATTCTTAGTACTTCGTAAGAATATAAAAACAAGAGGCCTATAGTAACATTTCTTCAGATATTGTAGCCCGCCTTACATTCGGGGATCATAATTTGAACAAACTTGAATCCACACTACAAAAGATTGCTCCCATATAAATACGTCTAGCCATTGTTTTGTTTATTTTAAGAAGAGGTTTTTGAAAGATGTTTTTGATATCTTCATTTTTTAACTTAACAACTTTTTATCATCCCTTAGAGGGTCATTATTTTAAAAATCTTGAATTTACACTAAGTGATGAAGCATTCGCATGTATCCTCTTATTTGGCAAAATAGTTCTTTAGAAGAGGATTCTTAAAAGATACCATAGAATTACATTATCTATCCTCGAAAGATGGAGTGATCCTTCCTTTGAATCAACTTTAATTCCCTTTACCAAGAATGCTTTGAGGAAGGCTTATGGAAATGTCGTTGAAATTAGCACATTGATTAAGTGAAAGACGTCAAAAATGCGACGGCTAAAGGCAGACACATGGACAACGAACAGAACGTGATCAGGAAAGTTCACTTAAGCTTTGAGCTCATGTTCGCTAACTAGGCTAATAAACGAGCATAGGCGTTGTTATCAAGGAACTCCGTCATA